ATATTCATGGGCAGTTATTTACTATTTGAGATCGTGAGTGAGATGGTGGCAGCTGCATCTAAGCCAAAATATATCAGCTGTTAGTTCTTTGTCTCATAATTGGCACAATAGTGTATCGACACTGCCATGTTAATTGAGTGCCACCCACCATGTCCCAGTGCACGTCAGAGCTGTTGGGTTTAACCTTTCTGGTGGGAATCCGGCAAAAAGACTGTCAGCTTTTCCCACTAACCATAAGCATTTCTCTGACAGTGAGTGACACGTGTAAATGGAAGGTTCAACTGTATGACGACCCATTATAGCTTTATTCACAAATTTCTAATCCTTCCAGGTTGGGGCTGGTGCCATTGGTTGTGAGCTGCTGAAAAACTTTGCCATGATTGGACTGGCTGCTGGGGAGGGAGAGGTCATTGTGACTGACATGGACACCATAGAGAAATCCAACCTCAACAGGCAGTTTCTCTTCAGACCTTGGGATGTTACGGTCTGTATCATCTTAACTCGACTTGTTTGATGAACTCTATTGATCGATGTTTCCACACAGCACTCTTTATGGCTTTCCTGTAACACCGAAGTGCACTTATAGATTATGTTTTGTATGTTGATAGAGGCAATTTAAACTTCAGTGTGTGTGTGTGTGTGTGTGTGTGTGTACGTGTGTGTGTTTTCTTAAAGTTTAAAAAGTCAAAGCAAATTTACCAGGTCCTAACAAACTGAGACTTGAGAGCAGCTTTGTACCTGTAGTATCACTAGACTACTAAATGCTAGTATGCACTATCAGTTAATCTGAGGTTATCTGATGCCCAAAAGAAACTGATGGGAGGAACCCACACCTGACGTAAGCTGTTGGACACCAATATTTTCAAAGGAGTGCACATTTTGTTGTGTCCCTGGAAAAGAAAGCATTAATGTGGACAGCAGTGACCTCTGTACAGATTGTCTCCTCTGATCTTTGTTCTTTTGGTCACCTATGATAATGTTATTAGTGAGTTGACTGTTTAGTGTGTGTGTGTTAACAGAAAATGAAGAGTGACACGGCTGCTGCTGCAGTGAAACTGATGAACCCGGCAATCAAGATCACAGGTCACCAGAACAGAGTGGGCCCTGACACAGAAAGGATCTATGATGACGACTTCTTTGAAAGCCTTGATGGAGTTGCCAATGCACTGGACAACGTTGATGCACGTAAGAGATGATGAGACATTAAGAATAACTGCTTAATAACTAGGGGGAAATGGATTCAGTAAAAAACGTGCGTTTTCCTCTAATGTTCAGGGATGTATATGGATCGGAGGTGTGTGTACTATCGTAAACCCTTACTGGAATCAGGCACTCTGGGTACCAAAGGCAATGTCCAGGTTGTGATCCCTTTCCTCACCGAGTCCTACAGCTCCAGTCAAGATCCACCTGAGAAGTCCATCCCCATCTGCACCCTCAAAAACTTCCCAAATGCCATTGAACACACGTTGCAGGTTAGTATATGCAGAGCCGGAGAGTCTCAGAGTGTGAGATTGGCCAGGCAGGATCAAATCTGACGCTTGGAGTCAGCGTGGCCCACAAAATAGTATTGAGAACAGCCATACAGAAACCTTTGTGTTAATCTTTACTTTAAAGGCTCCACCTGGTGTACCAACTACACAATGCACACATGTAATAGATGAGTTAATCACTTCAGCACTATATGCTTCAGAGAATTTTATTGCATTACCTGTTTCTTCATATACTTGATATCTTCATATAGGGTTTTGTTTTTTTAATAGCACTGTGTGTGGTTAGTGTGTCACAGTGTGAATGGAACTATTGTAGGTTTACCAAATATTTCGTACTTCTATTATTGAACTGCTGTCCTTGTGGTTCTTTCTGTGCAGTGGGCCCGCGATGAGTTTGAGGGACTATTCAAACAACCCCCAGAAAATGCCATGCAGTACCTCACGTATGTCGCTTTTCCTTGTCATTCTAATGCAATCACCTGTCAGCATTATACTTGCCTATATGCTGGGCTCCTTTCATCGTAGAAATTCTTCACTGATAAAATTACTTTTCATTAGTGGACAAATTTCCTCATAATTAAGTCTCATAAGTGTTTGTGGATTGTTGGTAATTCAGTACTTATAAACTTGTATAACTTGCCTTTCAACTAAGAATCAATCTTGTAAATGTCACAGCCCCCTCTTGGTTCTCGTGGCGCCATTGAGCTGTCTTCTTGTAAAATCTAACCCAAACCTCATGCTCGAAATAATTTATAAAATCAGCCTGCAGAGTAAATGGTTTAAAAAAAGACGACAGCTCTTCACATCGTCGAAACTAGTCAATGAGGTTTATAATTTCCGTTCTTGCAGAGATCCTAAGTTCATGGAGCGTACTCTGAAGCTTCCAGGAGCTCAGCCTGCGGAGGTGCTGGAGGCTCTTTATAAGAGTCTTGTCACAGATTGCCCCCAAAACTGGGCTGACTGCGTAGCTTGGGCTCGCAACCACTGGCAGTGTCAATACAGCAACAACATCCGCCAGCTACTGCACAACTTCCCACCAGATCAGGTACAAAGTGAAGGTGCTACGAGATGAATATCAGTTTCTAACCGTTATTGTCTGATCTTGGTTTTACGCGTCTTATCAACTGTTTGCAGCTATAGTTGCATTGGTGGTATTCATTTCAGCAACAAGAAAAGTGTTGTCATTTTTCATACAGTATTGGAATATTTTAACTTATTCAACAGATTATATGAAGGGTTTGATATGAACTTCTGCAATGGCCACACGTTATGTCTTGTCTTCTGTTTTTGAGCTCTGTGCAGGTCTGCTCAGTGACACCAAATTTAGTGAGAGGTGCTGCTGTGTGTTACAGCACGTGTTAGCACAGAGTAGCATAGCAGCTGATAATCTGATTTTAGCTTATAGCATGAAAGTTGTCACAAACATGGTAAACCATACTCGGACCGTGATATTGGTTTTGAACATTTCTAAAATCGTTTGATGGCAGACAAATGATTTTAGTAAGTCACAAAAACATTGGCATGATTAAGAGACTTTTATATAAAAGTAAACTACTTTACACTCTTGTGTAAAGACAGTTTGGGGCTTCCTGTGTACTTATTCATGCCAGTTTGTACATCTCATTTCCCCTGAAAAGCCATTTATAGATGGTGGGCATACATTAGAAACAGCAGAAATTACATTTTTAAACTTAAGCTGAGTCAAACGGCAGTTTGAGTTGCTGCGTATCTATTGCACGAAAGGCTGCCTAGTGGCTCAGTCAGCAGTACTGACGCTGAACCACAAAACCCTACTTTGCATCTGTAGTTTCTCACCCCCTTTCCTGTCATTTATCCACGGTTTCCTGTTTAATAAATATGCAATTGACACAAAAATTACAACATGGACATGAAAGGTTTCCATTATAGCACTTATACATTTATCATCTGTCTTTTAGCTCACTAGTTCCGGTGCTCCCTTCTGGTCTGGCCCAAAGCGATGTCCTCACCCATTAGAATTCAGCACTACCAATGTAAGTGTGCCGCTGTCATTTATAAGCTTAATATTACCCGAGTCTAGTCCAGCCAGGCTCAAACTAATGAATGTTCTTGTTTTCAGGAGCTGCATATGGACTATGTTGTGGCAGCAGCCAACCTGTTTGCTCAAACATACGGCCTGCAAGGCAGCACTGATCGTGCAGGTGTGATCAAGATCTTGCAGGATGTCAAGGTGCCCCCTTTCACCCCACGTTCAGGAGTTAAAATCCACGTCTCTGATCAGGAACTGCAAAATAACAATTCCTCTATTGGTATGTTCACATGTGGTTGTGTAATAAAGCATATTTTGGGGGGATGTTACATCAGCTAAGAGTTGTTTGTGAATCTTGTACGGAGTCATGTGTCATTGTGGATGCTTTGACAGTAATGCAACCATTGATCTTGTGATTATGCAGATGATACCAAACTGGAAGAGCTGAAAGCCATGTTGCCTTCACCAGAGTCCTTCCAGTTCAAACTCACCTCCATTGACTTTGAAAAGGTAAGGCGTCTCCTTTTGTCAGCTTTAATGAAGATAAATAACATTTGTTTAATTTATTACAGTTGCCAGTAGCAAAGCTAGTCAGTGGCATTGAGGACTTGGTTCTTTTTATCTGAAAGATTCAATAAAACACAGCATCTGGCTTTGCAGTGAGGCCAATTGGAAACCTAGTCTGTTAATAATAATGAGAGTAAGAAAGTATTGTTTCCATAGCTTTCAAGGCTAACTCTGCTTAGATGCCTTTAAGTGGTGCACTGCCAGAACATTGTAACTCTCACGCTAGAATTTCAACCTATTAATATAACTTGAATCAACACTACTGGTACTTCTGGTTTGTAATGGCTGTGGGCCTATATGTTAACAGGATGATGACACCAACTTTCACATGGACTTCATTGTGGCAGCCTCCAACCTGAGAGCAGAGAACTATGACATCCCCCCCACAGACAGGCACAAGGTAAGAAAACAGACCCAGCTGCTCTCACACTGGTGTTAATTGGGAAATGTGCCTGCTAATAGTATTCGTTTTGTAATAGTAATGAAAAAAACATTTGAGAGTGCACTCTGTGAAAACAAACAACTTAAACTCAACCTCAGAAATTTACATTTTGCTTTTTCTCTATGTACACTATAAAGTTTGGGGGGTGTTTTTGTTGTTGTTTGTTTGTTTGTTTGTTTCCTTCATCACTGTCCTTTTAATCACCAAACAGAGCAAACTGATAGCTGGTAAGATCATCCCTGCTATCGCCACTACCACAGCAGCAGTTGTTGGCCTAGTGTGCTTGGAGCTCTTCAAGATTATCAAAGGACACAAGAAGCTGGAGTCCTACAAAAATGGCTTCATGAACTTGGCCCTGCCTTTCTTTGCCTTCTCTGAACCCATTGCTGCTCCAAAACACAAGGTAAGCAAATACGTTACCATTTGCTGAGATTTTAAAAAGACGTGCACGATGTCTGCGCTGTAGAGAAATGTTTGACTCCAGTATAATAAACTCCTGTGATGATTAAGCCATGCTAATACTGATGCACCAGTCAGATGCATTTTGCACTGCCTGGGTGTAAGTGAGTTCAACTTGTCTTCTCACACTGATGGCATCAGTGTGTGCTGAGGAGAAATTTTAATGTAATAACTGGTTATCTTATTGAGCTTATAATTAAGATCTCTTAAAAAAATATGTATATACTTAAAATACATTTTTTCGCAGTACTATGAAATTGACTGGACGCTGTGGGATCGCTTTGAGGTCACAGGACTGCAGCCCAATGGGGAAGAAATGACACTCCGACAGTTTCTGGATTACTTTAAAGTATGTTGAGCTCATGGTTTGGTTTTTGGTTGTTGTTTTTCTCCACGCTGACATGTTCTTGGCATACAATTAACCACCATCTGTTTCTGTTCTGTATTAGAATGAGCATAAGTTGGAGATCACCATGCTTTCTCAGGGAGTGTCCATGTTGTATTCGTTTTTCATGCCTGCTGCCAAACTTAAAGAGAGACTGGACCTACCGTGAGTGCACGTGCATACACCTGCTTCCTCATTTGCATGCTGGAATTTTAAAGTTTGTATTCACTGGTTTTCTTTCTGTGTCCTGCAGTATGACGGAGATTGTGACGAAGGTGTCCAAAAAGAAGCTGGGCAAACACGTGAAAGCCCTGGTGTTTGAGCTATGCTGTAACGACCTTTCAGACGAAGACGTGGAAGTGCCCTATGTCAGATACACCATCCGCTGAGCTCCGCACTGAGCCCACCCGCAGGAGGGTGGGAGTTACAGGGGGGAGATGGGGATGGGGGTGTTCTGAGTGAGGAGCTAAAATGGGGATTGGGGGTGCGTGGGTTGATCCAGGTCAGCTGTATTGGATCAATCAGTATTTTTTTAGGCCTGTGGTTTGTGTAAACCTGTGCCTGAGTGTACATAGCCCCAGTAAGCTGAATTAAGAATAACTGTATATGTTAAGAATCCAGTTGGTTCTTGGCTGTGGGAACAGGGGTGTCACTGGAGGAAGGGAGCATGTACACTGGACATCCTGATGTTTCTCAAAAGCACCAACCTCTTGAGTGAATTGATAAGCCTTAGTGGTCTCTTGGTACTCCATATCCCAACCAGTGTCCCTAAAAACCATCACTCTTATTGGCCTTCAGCAGTAATGGAGGTTTTTGTTTGATTTTTAATCTAATCCACCTTCTTCCCTCCACTATACTTGCTCTCTCCCTCTTCCAACCTCTGTCTCATAGACACAGTCCCACATTAGTTTCTTTTGTTTTGTTTTTTCTTAACATATGCACCTAATTAATATGTAAAAGGTCAGCCCAGGAGACACCAATAAGCCCAAGCCTTTCCTGACTGGATATCTGACTATCTCACACCACCTGAATACCCCTGCCAGTGTGAGGTACCCCTACACCCTCATTAAACCCACTCTGTGGCTTTGGGAGGGGTTCGTGCACATGACATTGGTTTTCTCTTTCTCATTATATTTTATGTGTTTTGTTATTTTCTATTTTATTTTTTGGGTGGTTGGACAGAGTTTCGGCGCACACACGTGGTAGATCCTAAACTGTCTTTCTACTTTGTTAACTCCAAATGACTTAACTGTAAGAACAGGGCAACGAGATGTATCTTGAAACGGGAGCACTTAGTGTGATAGTGAATAAAGATGTAAAAACATACTGAAGAAGACTGTGTGGTTATTTTTGTGTCTCTCTCACACACACACACACAGCGACCGTGTCAGTGTCATTCAGCAATGTTAAAGTGTCAGAGGTTTGTTTTTCCTGTCTGACCTGTTTCGTGTTAATGAGAAGTTTCATTATTAAACACATCCGGGAAATGCTGCCTGAATACCAAGACACCAAATGACAGTGACGAGAGTAATCAGATTTCTTTTTTTCTTCCCCTTTTACTCCTGCGTTAAATCGTCTGTGATGGCGTTTTGAATTTATAAATGTGGGCAAAGGATAATTTTTTGTTTATTTTTTTTAAAAGGCAAGTGGCTGTAGCTAATCTGTGCCACAGGAGGAAGTATGTCGTTAGGTACTTTAGTGTGTGAAGTGCTCTTAGTTTAAATACACGTTTGATACGTTTGTGTAAGGCTTTGAACGCTCCTCCCTGACGAGAGCGGATACATGAATGTGTGCAACTCTAAAGGATGTGGTCGACTGTGAGATGAGGAAGAAAGTGAGGAGGAAGGAGTACACTGAACTCTCAACACGCTTCCTGCAAACAACTCGCTGTAAAGGACCCAAACAAAGAAGACGGGTGTAAATTTGGATTATTTGACCATTTGTGATTTTGAGAATGTGTCATGATTTGGTAAAGATGCACTGAAGAGAGAAACGATGGAAGTGGAGGAGACTGGTGAAAAAAGGACTTCCTGGTACGGTACCTTTTGCATTTATTATGCTTCCACCTTGGGCTGCTCTGTTACAAATTGGTGCTGAAAAATATCCCTGTTGGTTAATCGTACTTCATGTTCTAAGTGTGAATTTTCTGTGTTTGTCACCAGCATGATTACAAAACTTACATATTTGTACGACATGTGGAACAAAAACTCATTTTAATGCGCTTTGCTAGAGCACGGCACATAAGTCATTTGAATGTACACTGCCTACTTAATATAGTGTTATTTTGAATGTATCATACAATAAGATACATTCCCTGTATGAATGTTTAATTTGTGCCCAGTAAGAGCTTTTCTTCTTTTCAGGTCCGGTGTGCCAGCAGAGGGACACTCATTCCTCTGTGATCATGCAGGGGTAAGCTGCCACATCGGCTTTGGTTCTTGCACCATCTTTTTCCTGCATTAAATACTAATGTTTAAAAAAAAAAATTCATTATTGTCCTAAAAACTAGTCCAAGAAACTCACTTTCATACACTGCTGTCTTTAGAAGAAGAGAAAACAAGACCCGGCCCCTGAACCTGTGATCAGAATCTCAGAGGTGAGTAAGAGACTGAGACGCATCGATGCTGCTGCTTCATGTTCATTTCTCTGTTTCTCTGTAACGAACGGAAGTTAGTCAACCTTACCTTTGTGACCACAATGCTGAGTGCAGAACTGACGGGAGATGTGAGCGCTGTGTTTGCAACCATGGAAGTTTTTGCAAGTCTATAAATGGAGTTTGTCTCATTTTCTTAAATTCCAGCTTATCTCGGTTTATTTTCACCTTTCAGATATTCTTTTTTTTTTTTGCCAGCTGTACATTACATCATCCATATAATCCGAGGCTTTTTATTGATGCTATTAAAGTGTTGCTTGCAATTAAGACACAGCTGATGTGGTTAGTGTGGCAAAAAGAAATAGGCAGACATCTTGCAATTTCACTATAGAGGCACACTTTCAACCTTCTTCCTCTTTGAAAGACACACAGGAAATGAGAGATCTGCACCATGCAACATCTCGCCTCTCACCATCTTTGTCTTTCCACTTTCCTGAACTCGCGTGTACCTCGAGTTGATTTTTAACTTTTTAACATGTTTCAGGACGAGGAGGGAGAGGATGAGTGTGAAATGACGTCCGACCTGAAGGAATCGGAGGTGAGGTGTTCTGCAGATGCCAGATTTGTGTTCAGTTGTTTTAAAATCCTCTTGTGCACAGTTAGGTTTGAATGAATGAACCACAGCTTGTGGACTATTTTGTGCAGATCTTAAAAATGTTTTTTTGGTTCACTTCAGGAGCCCAGCAATAAGAGGGTTAAACCTGTGGCAAAGTCCAATAGCCTGACAGGCGTCTTAAACCCTGTGAAGACCCCTGCTCTGAAGCGCATCGGCCAGTCTATTTCGGTAACAAACACACTCGCAGTCCAGTCATACAAAGTGACCAGTGAATGAGTTTTGGGGGTTTTGTATAACAGTCAGCTGCTCCTCTCTGTTCTCAGCGGTCTATTAGTTTTCGTACAGAAGCTCGACCTTTGCCCACAGCCCCCCTGCGTTCACGGACAAAGGCCTCCTCGTTTCCACGTCGCCGCAACAGCCAGTGTTGGAGTGACACTGTGGAAAGTCACGATCTGACTGCAAAGGAAATCAAACGGCAAGAGGTGCGCTAAACAAAAACCTCGTTATTAAAATACCTTGTTACTATAGCAGAATGTGTTTGGGGGCCTGTATATGGGTCAAGTTGTGTGGCTGTGGTTGCCGTGTAGGCGGAGTAACTTGTACCTACTCTTCATTTCTGTGAAGCTGCTCTTCATGGGTATTATGAAAGAGGATGTGAGCTGGCACTGAAGGCTCAACTTCCTTTATTGAACAATCAGCTGTGAGAGCTCGTGTTGTCTATTTAACTGACTTCTTATGCAACTCAACACACAGAGTGTGTGTGTGTGTGTGTGTGTGTGTGTGTGTGTGTGTGTGTGTGTGTGTGTGTGTGCGCGTGTGCGTGCGCGCGCCGATATCTTTGTTATCACACTGGCAATAACGTGCGCATTCGTTAACTATTTTAAATGCCCTGCAGGTCATATACGAGCTAACCCAAGGAGAGAGACAGCTCATAGAGGACCTCAGTTTGGTTAAGAAGGTAGCTGCTCAACCTGAACAAAACATTTAATCCACTCACATGCAGGCTTTTATATGCTAAATGCCCCGGGTCTGTTCCCAGGTGTACTATGAGCCCATGTTGAAGTTGGACATAATGACAGAGAGTGAGCTTGGACAGATCTTCGGTACTCTGGACTCACTCATCCCCCTCCATCAAGGTAACTTTGTTTTTGTGCAGCTTGTGCTGCTATCTCGAGCAACACACCAGCTCATTTCCTGAATATGAAATTGAGGCAATGAGGTGAAGTCTTGATAAAGTATAGGTTGTTGCAGTTCAGTGTAATTACATCACAATCTGAAATAGTTACAAGTAAACAGGAGCAGGTAAAGTAGTTTTACAGCTCATACCATGTACTAAGTGTTATCTAGGTATAATTTGAATTCAAGGCTCTTTAAAAAGAAATAGAAGCTTCTACACTGCCCAGCCCTGAAAACAAACTTCATCAAATGGGAAGTTGTATTTTTTTTAATTAGTTTTTTTAGAAGTGCCGTATTTTTATGCACACTACTTGTTTTTGAGCTGTAGTGAAATAAGGTCAGCACAACTTGGAGTATCCTGTTTTCTTTTAATCCATATCAGATCT